TTGAAACTCTTTTGTGTTGACGCTAGAACTCCTTTGTGTTGACGCTGGAACTTTTTTGTGTTCAGGTTGGAACTCTTTTGTGTGGACGCTAGAACTCATTTTCGTGGATGCTGGAACTCTTTAGTGAGGACATTGAAACTCTTATTTGTCCACGTGGGAATGGAAGTCTTCTGTGAGGACGTTGGAACTCTTCTTTGTTCACGCTGGAACACCTTTGGCGTGACGTTGGAACTCTTTTCTGTGGCGACGGAGGCTAGAAATCTTTCCTGTGGACGCTGAAACTCTTCTGTGTTGACGTTGGAACTCTTTTTTGTTGACGCTGGAACTCTTTTATGTTGATGTTAGAACTGTTTGTGTTGACGCTGGAACTCTTTTGTGAGCACTTTGGAACTCTTATTTGTTGACGTTGGAACTCCTTTCTGTAGACGCTGCTACGTTGGAACTCTTTTTTTTGACGCTGGAATTTTTGCGTGGACGCTGGAACTCTTTTGTGTTCATGTTGGAACTCTTTAGTGTGGACGCTCGAACTCTTTTGTGTTCACGTCGGAACTCTTTTGTGTAGACGCTAGAACTCCTTTTTTTCGGACGCCGGATCTCTTGAACACTGGCACTCTTTTGTGTGGACAATCGAACTCTTTTCTGTTCACGTTGGAACTCTTTTGTGTGGACGCTAAAACTCCTTTTTGTGGACGCTGAAACTCTTTTGTGTTGACGTTGGAACTCTTTTTTTGTTGACGTTGGAACTCTTTTGTGTTCACGTTGGAACTCTTTTATGTGGACGCTAGAGCTTCTTTTTGTTGATGCCATAACTCTTTTGTGTTGAAGGTGGAACTCTTTTTGTTCACGTTGGAACTCTTTTGTGTTTACCGTGGAACTCTTTTGTGTTCACGTTGGAACTGTTTTTTGTGGACGCTTGAACTCTTTCCTTTGGACGCTGAAACTGTTTTGTGTTAACGTTGGAACTTTTTTTGTTGACGCTGGAACTCTTTTGTGTTCACGTTGAAACTGTTTTTTTTGGACGCTGGTACTTTTTCCTGTTGAAGCTGAAACTCTTTGGTGTTGACGTTGGAACTCTTTTTTGTTGTCGCTGGAACTCTTTTATGTTGATGTTAGAACGGTTTGTGTGAACGCTGAAACTCTTTTGTGTTGCCGTTGGAACTCTTTTGTGTTCACGTTGGAACTTTTTTTTGTGGACGCTGGAACTCTTTTGTGTTCACGTTGAAACTGTTTTTTTTGGACGCTGGTATTTTTTCCTGTTGACGCTGAAACTCTTTGGTGTTGACGTTGGAACTCTTTTTTGTTGTCGCTGGAACTCTTTTATGTTGATGTTAGAACGGTTTGTGTGAACGCTGAAACTCATTTGTGTTGACGTTGGAACTCTTTTGTGTTCACGTTGGAACTCCTTTTTTGTTGACGGTGGAACATTTTTGTGTTTACCTTGGAACTCTTTTGAGAACATTGGAGCTCCTTTCTGTTGACGTTGGAACTCTTTAGGGTTGACGCTGGAACTCTTTTGTGTTGATGTTGCAACTCTTTTGTGTGAACGCTGGCACTCTTTTTTGTGGACGCCCGAATTCTTTTGTGTTCACGTTGGAACTCTTTTGTTTTGACGCTAGAACTCGTTTTTGTGGACGCCGGAACTCTTTTTGTGGACGCTGGAACTCTTTTGTAAGCACTTTGGAACTCTTATTTGTTGACGTTGGACCTCTTTTCTGTAGAAGCTGCCACGTTGGAACTCTTTTGCGTTAATGCTGGAACTCTTTTGCGTGAATGCTGGAACTCTTTTGTGTTGATATTAGAACTCTCTTGTGTGGACGCTTGAACTCTTTTGTGTTGACGTTGGAACTGTTTTGTGTGGACGCTTGAACTCTTTTTTTCGGGCGCCGGAACTCTTTTGTGTGGACGCTGGAACTCTTTTGTGTTAATGTTGAAACTCTCTTTTGTGGATGCTCGAACTCTTTTGTGTTCACGTTAGAACTCTTTTGTTTGTACGCTAGAACTGCTTTTTGTGGACGCCGGAACTCTTTTTGTTGACCGTGGAACTCTTTTGTGTTCACGTTGGAACTGTTTTTTGTGGACGCTTGAACTCTTTCCTTTGGACGCTGAAACTCTTCTGTGTTGACGTTAGAACTCTTTTTTGTTGACGCTGGAACTCTTTTATGTTGATGTTAGAACTGTTTGTGTGGACGCTGGAACTCTTTTGTGTTGACGTTGGAACTCTTTTGTGTGGACGCTTGAACTCTTTTTTTCGGACGCCGGAACTCTTTTGTGTGGACGCTGAAACTCTTTTGTGTGGACGCTCGAACTCTTTTGTGTTCACGTTGGAACTCTTTTATGTTGAGGTTAGAACTGTTTGTGTGAACGCTGGAACTCTTTTTTTGTTGCCGTTGGAACTCTTTTGGGTTCATGTTGGAACTCCTTTTTTGTTGACGGTGGAACTTTTTTGTGTTCACGCTGGAACTCTTTTGAGAACGTTGGAGCTCGTTTCTGTTGACGTTAGAACTCTTTAGCGTTGACGTTGGAACTCTTTTGTGTTGATGTTGCAACTCTTTTGTGTGGATTCTTGAACTCTTTTGTGTTCACGTTGAAACTCTTTTGTGTGGACGCTAGAACTCTTTTTTGCAAACGCCAGAACTCTTTGGTGTGGAAGCTGACACTCTTTCGTGTGGACGCTCGAACTCTTTTGTGTTCACGTTGGAACTCTTTTGTGTTGACGCAGAACTAGTTTTTGTGGACGCCGGAACTCTTTTTGTGGACGCTGGAACACTTTTGTAAGCACTTTGGAACTCTTATTTTGTTGACGTTGGAACTCTTTTCTGTAGACGCTGCCACGTTGGAACTCTTTTGCGTGAACGCGTGAACTCTTTTGCGTGGATGCTGGAACTGTTTTGTGTTGATGTTGGAACTCTCTTGCATGTGTGGACGTTGGAACTCTTTTGTGTTGACGTTGGAACTCTTTTGTGTGGACGCTTGAACTCTTTTTTTCGGACGCCGGAACTCTTTTGTGTGGACGCTCGAACTCTTTTGTGTTCAAGTTGGAACTCTTTTATGTGGACGCTAGAACTCCTTTTTGCGGAGGTTGGAACTCTTTTGTGAGGACGCTGGAACTCTTTTGTGTGGACGCTCGAACTCTTTTATGTTCACGTTGGAACTCTTTTGTGTGGACGCTAGAACTCCTTTTTGTGGACGTTGGAACTCTTTTGTGAGGACGCTGGAACTCTTTTGTGTGGACGCTCGAACTCTTTTGTGTTCACGTTGGAACTCTTTTATGTGGACGCTAGAACTCCTTTTTGTGGACGCCGGAACTCTTTTGTGTAGACGCTGGCACTCTTTTGTGTGGACGCTGGCACTCTTTTGTGTGGATGCTCGAAGTCTTTTGTGTTCACGTTGGAACTCTTTTGTGTTGACGCTAGAACTCGTTTTTGTGGACGCCGGAACTCTTTTGTGTAGACGCTGGAATTATTTTGTGTGGACGCTCGAAATCTTTTGTGTTCACGTTGGAATCTTTTTTGTGTGGACGCTAGAACTCCTTTTTGTGGACGCCGGAACTCTTTTGTGTTGAAAGAGGAACTACTTTTTCTTCACGTTGGAACTCTTTTGTGTTGACCGTGGATTTCTTTTGTGTTCAACTTGGAACTGTTTTTTTTGGACGCTTGAACTCTTTCCTGTGGACGCTGAAACTCTTTTGTGTTGACGTTGGGACTCTTTTATATTAATGTTAGAACTTTTTGTGTGAACGCTGGAACTCTTTGTGTTCACGTTGGAATTGTTTTTTGTGGACGTTGGTACTTTTTTCCTGTGGACGCCCAAACTCTTTTGTGTTGACGTTGGAACTCTTTTTTTTTGTCGCTGGAACTCTTTTATGTTGATGTTAGAACTGTTTGTGTGAACGCTGGAACATTTTTGTGTTCACGTTGGAACTCTTGTGTGACCGTTGGAACTCCTTTCTGTTGACGTTTGAACCTTTTTGTGAGGACGCTGGAGTTCTTTTGTATTGACGTTGGAACTTTTTTTTTGTTGACGCTGGAACTCTTTTATGTTGATGTTAGAACTGTTTGTGTAAACGCTGGAACTCTTTTTTTTGACGCTGGAACTCTTTTGTGCTCACGTTGGAACTCTTGGGAGAACGTTTGAGCTCCTTTCTATTGACGTTGGAACTTTTTTGTGTTGATGTTGGAATTGGTTCGTGTGGATGCTGGAACTCTTTTTGGTTGACGCTGAAATTCTTTTATGTTGATGTTGGAACTGTTTTGTGTGAATGCTGAAACTCTTTTGTATGGTCGTTGGAACTGTTTTGTGTTGACGTTGGAACTATGATGTTTGGTCGTTTCAGGTATTGTTGTTTTTGGACGTTGAAAATCTTGTTAATGGACGTTTTGTGTGTGTACGATGGTATCTTTGTGTTTGTCGTACAAAGTGTTTTTTTTTGTAAGTTTTGTGTTTTTTACTTCTATTATCTTGCCAGTTGATGTTAAATCTTGTGAATTATGTGTTGTGTTTTGAGAGCTTTATTGGCTTCCTGTGGCGGACGCGTTCTTTTTCTTGTAAAGATCACTTGGTGTAACTGCTGCGATGTTTTGCTCTCTTGAAGAAGTTGCTTTCGATTTTCTTTTTCCATTCGTTGTTTTTTTAAAGAATTTGAATTTGGAGGTCTTGTGTTTGGTCGTTGTTTCCTCGTTTCCGTTGGGATCGTTGATCTTTTTTGGCTGTTTAATTTTTTTCACTTTGGTATTTCCATGTTTCCAAAACTGGGACCATTTACTTGTTTTCGTTGTAGTTGTCTCCGCTGAAGATGACGCTATGAAATTAATAATCACTTGTGAAATGTTTAGCCGTGAGGTGTGAAACTAACCGCAGCATCTGATATGTATGTAACAGAAGAAATTAAGCTCACTTTCTTACGCCTGAAATACGGTGTTTACCTTCTCCATCTGCTTTCTCCATCTGCTTGTATTCATCATTTGGTTCAACGGAGGGAACCTCTCTGGAGTTGATGTCACTTAACGTTGTTCCTTGAAACATTTTGTATATATCAGGTGGTTTCTTCATTGGACAAGGTTCAGGATTTACTGAGTCGTTGCCTGTAGTTGAATCACATAAAGGGTTGATCTTTCTGTGTTTTCGTTTTATTTTCCTTGAACGTTTCTTCTTTTTGACTTTGATATCTTCTTCGGCAAGCTGAAGTGATTGTAAAGGACCGTGGTTAATAGAACTTTCAATGGCGAGCGATATGATTTTATTAATAAAGTACAAGTTTGGTAATCAGGTTTTCCTGTGTTGGAAAGTATATCCTTTGCATGCTTGATTGGTTTGTCTTACCTCACAAAGAGATTCTCGGACATTTTCTTGGATGTTTGAGTCGGAACTCTCTGCATTGACATATTGCCCTGTTTTCGCAAGCTTTTGTGCAGGCGTGTCAGAAATGCCCGACTTTAATTTTAACTGTTTTTCCTTTCTTTCGTTGTCTTCTTTTGCCCACTGACGACACTCGAAGGCAATTTCTGAAGCTGGATATAAGAGAAATTGTATTATTAATTAATTAATTAATTTATTTATTTATTTATTTATTTAGCTTCGGCTATAATTACACAATCAACAACACATACACACAACCATTTCTGTCCTGCCCCAAAACGTCCAAACGTCAGACATTTGTCGATGTCTTAGTGGTGGAAAATTAAAAAATATTCATTCTTGACCGCTATCCTCAGACGGTTTAATTACAATTGATATTAATAACGTGAGTTTTATGAGTTGAAAAATACGAAAAATTGCTCAGAACTTGGCGAAAACCTTGTCAAACTTGTGGAATGCAGCAGTATGACGAGCCTCCACGTTTTAAGGTTGGACAGAAAGGTGACAGCAACAACAACAACAACAACAACAACAAGGTGACAGCAACAAAAGGCGGGGACACCACAAAAGCCTAAAACCAATTACTGTGGGCCCTTGTATACAGACAACACATAACATATCTACATAATTAATACTGTACATTTATTAATAGCAGCACGTTAATGGCTGCACAAGTTTGCGTGGTGTTTTGCATTTCAAGCAAACTGGTTCTCTGCGTTCTGGCGTCGTCAACATCATAGCATGTCTGAGCAGCATTTTGATAATAGTTAAGCAAAAATGTTCTAAATCGTATCAGCGAGAGATCTTTTTGTCTGAGATCCTCAGGCAGAGAGTTGTAATTTCTTATTGTTCTGATGAAGAAAGAGCGTTGGAATGTTAACGTCTTACATTTACGAGGACGGAACAAGAGCACGTTGGTGTCAACCGAGGTTCTAGTGAGCCTTATTGATGGGATAACTCGCTGTTGAAGGACTTCGTTCGAGACAGTTATAATGTTGTTTACAGCTTTGAAGAAAAACATAATGTCAAGGTACTCATGCCAGTAGGTGATTGGTAATAAGTCTAACGAGATCAATGTGTCTTTGTACGTCTCTTCGCACATGAATGGTAATTTCAAAACAAACTTTGTGGCTCGTCGTTGGATGCGTTCTGTCCTCATAATTAAGTCGATCGATTGTGGTGACCAGACTTTAGTGGCGTAGCCTAACGTTGAGCGAACAATTGATAGGTATAGTGTGCGGCGTATCTTAATATCTGTAATTTCTGCTGCGGCCCTACGAAGGAAACCGAGCATCTTGTTTGCCTTCGCACAGCAATCTTGGGTATGGCAGGACCAGTTTAGCGACTCCGTAATCCATATACCTAAATCTTTCACTTTTTCTGTGACCATCAGGGACTTGTTATTGATCTTGTTATTGATCATCGCTAATCACTGTAGTTAATTCCTTAATTTTATAATAAGTTAACTACACGACTTAATGACTGCGTTGCACAAAACCTAGTTTGTCGGATGATTAACTAACCACGTGGTTAACTTGCGTGGGGCTTGCGTTGGGTTGTTAAAAAAAGAAATAGCACGAAATTATTCACCGCTGTTATTGATTTTGAACAAGACTGTGGACTCGTATTTAAAACAATTAACAGTATTTTGATCAGCGATTTTGATCTAAAATATTGGAATAATAGAATAAAACAAGGAAAAAGTTCAAAATAATTCAACGAAAAAGGCGCGCTTAATATAAAAAGCTTCCTTTGAGTCAAACTACTGGTCGCAGTTGAAAATGGAGATGGCTAATCTTTCCTAGGATCGTAATTTGGCATCGACACGTCTCCCGAAGCAAAAATATATTCTGTTGCTGCCCGAATGAAAAAAATAAAAGCATATTGAGGGTTTACAAGCTTCGACAGGGCCTTTTCTAAGTTGACAACATTGGTATGTGTTGATTTTAATGTTTTCTCACTCCTCAAAAGCTCAAGACACCATTTTTAACTACGATTTGGAAAGTTAACGATGCCCTTGAGGATAGTTAACTCTAACCACTTTTAAACTGCAGTTGAGGCTAACTACAACTGACTTAACTACGTTATTAAAGTTAACTACTTTTTAATTTTAACTACTTTTTATCTACTTTTTAACTGCAGTTAGCGCTAACTACGTTTTTATACAACCGGCCCTAGCGCGGTCCACATTTGACGAAGGGTTTCCCTGATAGCATTGCTTAACTAAAACAAATCCACGCTCAGCAATATCAACACTCCTTTTCACTTGGAGCCTATCAGTGTAATTTTATTTTACCAGCGGGTTTTCATTTAAGATTTATTTTAAAACTTCGAAAGGTATATTTGGACTGGTCTTATATGTTGTGGTATATTGCAAGCAGTATAGAATTCAATAAGTAAACTTACCGATTTTACGAGTTACGCCTCGGCGAGTGAGGTCTTCTGTGTGAACTGACAGAACTGTGTCCCAGCATGATAAGTTATCGCCACCGTTGTCTTCTACATCGTTGTTATTTTCAAATATCACTTCAGAAAGTTGAACTGCTTCATTTCTCTTCTTTCTCGGTGTCTTTTTAGTGTGGCCACATTCTGAAAGAAGAAAAATAATTATTATTCCATTTTGGCAATTGTACTGGGACGCTTATATATTTCTTTCATTTTTTTCCAAAGAAATCAGCCCGCTTTAGAAATGTGCACAATAGAGAACAAAATGTCATTCACAAAGGCAGAAGCGGAATTTGATAAATCATCTCAAATTAATTCACTAACCTTCTGTTTGGCTGTTGACGCCGAACAAATCGTGGTACATTTTTTCCTCTTCGGACATTTCGCGTGTTCCACTAACAGACCCAAGTCTCTCTGGAATAACAAAAACAACAAAACAATAAGTTAGCGCGATGAAATCATGGGGTTATCAGTCAGAAATAGTAATGAAACAGTCGAGACCTGCATGGATTACCTGCATATCTTCTTGAAATATTTAACTGATTATCACTCGCTAAGCCGTCGTTGTCTCGAATTTTTTCTATTTCCAACAATGTACCTTCGCCAACCTTCGTCCTGCGTCGGAAGGGCTTGGATAATGAGGAAAGGGAAAACATACTTTTCAATTAACCGCTTTTTATCGCTGTGTAAAATAATTTTTCGCGCGCAAAATTTTTGCAAACCTATCCGCACGAAACGATCATTTAATTGACAACTATTGAATGAATTTTTCGTCATTTAATTGAACCGCCCGGTGCGTGCGTTTTCGATAAAAATTATTTTGTCGTGAATGAAGCTAAAAACTAACAGTAATGGTATGCATGGCCCATGACCACTAAACGGCAACAACCAAGGGCGTCGGAAACATCAAAAGATTTGGGGGCACCGGTTTCCAGGAGCACTTTTGGCTAATATAAAGGGCAGCCAAAAAATGTATGCCAAAGCTGCAAGGACATCACTAGTGAAGTATAGTGTGGTTTATATTTATGCTCTTCAAAAAAGATTTAGGCACGTGTAAATGGGCATACGCATAGCAAACAAAAAGGGGAGCTTCGATTTTAAAATAGTATTTACAGGTACATTAGCGTCTCAAAAAACCATTTTTCATCACTAAAAGTGCACTTCTGGTTTTACTGAAAATTTTTGGGGGAACTTACCCCCTGTTCCTACGCCACTGGCATGCTACAACCTATAAACTCAGCATGTAATTTTTTGCATGCATGTACTGGGTGTCCCCCTAAAAATTTTACTTTTTTGTTATAAAATAACCCAAAACTATGAAAGCTATTCAGTTGAAATAAACCCCTTTGCATGCGGGCTGGGCTAACTTAGATTTTGATACAAAACACAAAATATTGGTATGACTAGAATATTAATAGAGATACAAAGCATTTTTCAGACCACTTTCAAAATTCGGGAAAATATATGACAAAGTACTTGGCACTTCCCTTGGATGGCTTTCGTTTCTGGTAAAGTTTTCTGTGAGACACTCGGTATTTTTGGTGCATTTAGATATTATTTTTAAAACATTTATCAAAATAGATTTGTGGTAAATTAAGGAGTTGGAACTTGTGGTTAAAATGTTCATGTTAACCCATGGATGCAGGATTACGTGCGTAGTTCTAAGATACCTGTGTATTTGTGACTATTTGGTGAAAATAACTTTCATGAAAAAATAAAGCTCATTGATAAACGGAGTAATATAAGTACGGATAATCCGTACGATATAGAACATGCAAATTGTAGAGAAAACCTAAATCTGAACTAAAAGCACTCATAAAAAGGTCGGCAAAATTCTTTAAATAATAATAATAATACATAGAATTTCTATAGCGCTAAATCTACAATACTCTAAAGCGCTTTACATTTCATAAAACCTATGACCTAAATTACTTATAAGACAGTTTAAAAAAATGCGTTTTCAAGTGTCTTTTAAAAATGCTAAAATTTGCCTCAAGTCTCAAACTGTCAGGTAATTTGTTCCATAATATTGGGGCGGATCTTCTAAAACTACGTTCACCTTGAGTAACCTTCTTAACCCTTGGAATAACCAAAAGTTTTTATCGTCTGATCTTGTGCCTTTATTTTCACGTCTTTCCAGCAATTCGGTTAAGTATTCAGGTGCAGTTCCTTGGATACATTTAAACACCAGTAAGAGAATTTTATATTCTATTCTCTTTTTCACTGGTAACCAGTGGAGTCTTTCCAATACCGGTGTAATATGGTCGTACTTTCCCGTTCCTGTAATTAATCTTGCAGCCAACTTCTGGACAGTGTATAACTTGTCCAAGTCACAATTTGGTAATCCATATAAAATGGCGTTACAATAGTCCAGCCTTGATGTAATCATACTGTTTACCATTATCTTTGCCGCATCTTCAATAATACATTGTCTGATCTTATACATATTCCGGAGCTTGAAAAAACAACTTTTCGCTATATTACGAACATGACTCTTTAAAGTAAATTTGTCATCTAATTCTACTCCTAAAAGAGTTATTGATTCTGATTTAACAATATTTTCATTCCGGTCGACAGGGAAGGGAAATTAGAACAGTCTCGGCATGGACCCGTCAATACCAAAACTTTGTTTTATCATCATTAAGCTTTACCATGTTCTTTGTCATCCAAGCTTTTATGTCACGCATCAGAGACTCCATCCTGTCAACGGTTTAAATGAAAGTGAAACGAAACAATATAATATTTTTTTTAACACAGATACTTTATACAACGATTAGCAATTAAAAAGCACTTAAGCAAATATAAGCTTGCAGGTAATTTAGGCAAGTGGTAGCAAGCGATAAACAAGTAATGATATTTCATGCAAATGAGATGTGCACAATTTTTACACTCTAGTTCGAAAACACATCGTGATGTTTTGTTGTCGTGTACACAACTTAGTTTCATTCAAAGTCCATTTATCTTGTCTTCCTTCTTTACAGAGAAATCTTACATTTTGTGTGGACGCTGGTAGTCTTTTGTGTTCAGGCTGGAACTCCAATTTGTTGACGTTAGAATTATTCTATGAGAACGATGGAGCTCTTTTGTGAGGGCGTTGGAATTTTTTGTGAGGGCGTTGGAAACACTGGAAATCTTCTGTGTTGACGTTGGCCCTCTTTTGTGTTTAACTTGGAACTCTTTTGTGTTGACGATGCAACTCCTTTGTGTTGACGATAGAACTCGTTTGTGTTGACCATGGAACTCTATTGATTGCATGTGTGCACGCTAAAACTCTCTTGTGAGGACGCTGGAACTCTTTTGCATGTGCGGACGCTGGAACTCTTTTGTGTTGACGCCGGAACTCTTTTCTGTGGACGTTGGTACTCTTTTATCTGAACGCAGGAACTCTTTTAGTGTTGACGTTGGAACACTTTTATGTGGACGCTGGAACTCTTTTATGTTCATGTTGGAACACTTTGTGTTGATGTTCGAGCTCTTTTTGTGCTGACGTTCGAACTCGTTTGTGTTGACGTTCGAACTTTGTTGTGAGGACGCTGGAACTCTTTTGTGTTCACGTTGGAACTCTTTTTTGTTCACGTTGGAACTCGTTTGTGTGGACACTGGAACTCTTTTGAGTCGACGCTGGTACTTTTTTGTGTTGACGTTCGCACTCCATTGCGAGGACGTTGGAACTAATTTTTATGCACGCTCGAACTCTTTTGTTTAGACGCTGGAACTCTTTTGTGTGGACGCTGGAACTCTTTTGTGTGGACGCTTGGACTCTTTTGTGTTGACGTTGGAACTCGTTTATGTGGAAGCTGGAACTCTTTTATGTTGATGTTGGAACTCTTCTGTGTTGATGTTCGAGCTCTTTTGTTTTGACGTTGGAACTCGTATTTGTGGACGCTGGGACTCTTTTGTGTTGACGTTGTAACTCGTTTGTGTGGACGTTGGAACTCTTTTGTTTGGACGCTTGGACTCTTTTGTGTTGACGTTGGAACTCGTTTATGTGGAAGCTGGGATTCTTTTGTGTTGATGTTGGAACTCTTCTGTTTTGATGTTCGAGCTCTTTTGTTTTGACGTTGGAACTCGTTTGTGTGACGTTTGAACAGTTGTTTGTGTGACACTTTTTGGAAACTTTTGAGCCGACGCTGGAACTTTTTTGTATTGACCTTCTTATTCCATTGCGAGGACGTTGGAATTTATGTTGGACGTTCGAACTCTTTTGTGTGGACGCTGGAACTCTATTTTGTGGACGCTCGACCCCACAAGCAGACAGTGAAAATCAGGAGATCTTTCCCTTGGAGACACCGTTGGTTTCCAGTGATAGTCCATCAACACCAGCATTACACTACAGAACCCTGTATCACAGTGACCTGCACCACTACAACAAGCCTTTAAAGCCAGTGAAGCAGAGCAACAACAAGCGACGTCTAGTCCATCAAGGAGACGTTCCACACGAACTCGTCAAAGACCTTTGGTCGCGTTTTGGAGATTATGAGGTACATAGAGATTACTTCATGGTTGGCGAGTGCGTACGATTTTTATGCACGAGTTGTGAAGGATCGCAATACGAATGAGTGAGCGCAGCGAACGAGTAGTTTGCGATCCTTCGCAACGAGTGCATAATAAAAATCGTACAAACGAGCCAACCATGAAGTAATTTGTTTATTAAATGTGTATAGAGATCAATTTGACAACGACACACTTTTAATATACAAAAACACAGCGAGCCACAAAAATCAAAACTTTATGCATAAAAACATATTTATTACCGTTCAGTTTCTTTGTAATTTTGTTCAATAGAAGTTAGACATTCTTTCCGAAAGATTTGAGATGTGCTGAATGTAAAAATATCTTGAATATGAGAATTATGTTTTGAATATCACTCCTATATTTCAACGCCATCTTGAAAGAAAATGTAAACAAATTGCCGCCAAAATGACATACGACAATTTTTCACGTGTGAAGAATATCGTACGTTCAATCAAAAGCCGTGTATGACTTTTGTACCTATGTATGTGTACCTAAAATACCACGTTTCTATATATGTTATACTGAGTATATATAAATAGATTAGTGACATTACTCAAATATTTAACCTTGGGCGCTTTCATTAAGTGACCAAAATGGTCAGACCGGTCGTATTTTAAATTGAAATAGAGTATTTCGTTAAGAATATAGCGATGAAACTGAATTTCCCGTGTTAGGCATATGTAAATAACGATATACTTAAATGCAGAGTTCTTGAGACATTCTAAAATACCAGTAATCTATCTGTATAAATCTATCCGTATAAAGGAAAGTGCCCTATGTTATCTATTTTAGTTTAACGACGCACTACGCAGTAAAATGTTTTTCAATTAATCCCCAAAAGTTCTTTCTTCGTGTCCTTGGTATGGTACAAGGATGAATTCTTAGTGATATCGTAACACATATTCTCATCCAACATGGCCGCTGCCTCGACACATCTCCACCTGTAGCCATCCGGGTCTCGGCCATGGATAAATCTTGCATGCGTAAACGCTTTAGAGATGTTTTTTTCGCACCATTCATCTCGGAGATTCTGTATTCGATATTCTGAAACATTAAAATAAACTTTTTCTACCGGACAACAACGCAGATGGTAAGTTTCACAATCTTTGAGAAACGACCAAACGAAAACGTTGCAATTCATCCCGTTGATAAAAAGCCGAGATCACCCTAACGAAATGGCAATATAAATTGCGGGAGAATATTTTTTAATTCCACGAGAGGACACGAGTTGACTTAAGTACTTTTTTTCTGTTGAAAATTTTTGGCAATGCGATATAAATTATATACAGTATGTATCATAATTATTACAACATACCTGGAATTTCTGCCTCAGATCCATTCTGTATAACTATGTCACCAACAACATGATCTCTGAAATCCCTCCATTGAAGAAGATTTCCGTTAACATTCAAAACCCCAGATGCCATTCCCTGAATAACATTGGTTGTCAAGAATTGACTCCAGAGATTCAACCCTGCAAGGCTCCCTTTTAACGCTTGATTCCTATTAAAACCCCCGCCATAGGAATCCAATTCCTGACCAAGTACAATGACACCGTTGGAATGTATAGTGTGATTTTTTGCTCTGTATTTTGTTGCTATCTTTTTCACATCTTGATAAACCTCCATTGCACCATCAAAGCTTCTCCACTGCAGGCAATAAAAATGCCACGAGTCATAGGCAGAGATCTTAGGTCTATAAGGTGTAAAAATAGTCAATCGAGTCCTTTGCTCGCTGTTGTCTTACAAATTTATGCAGGAAAACTCTAAGTGATGAGAAAAATAAACTTAGTGGTAAGAGGAGCTAAAAAGTTCAATTATGCAGTTATCGAAACTTCTTCCTGGTCACGTGTTCAATAAATATTCTTCCTGGCGTGGTGAGCCCAGTGAACTCAAATAAGACTGGAACTAGCTCTCTGACTTTCCCTCATTAATGAGTAAGGTAAAATCATAATTGCCGCCTTTTATCAACGAAATTTCCGCCTGCAAATTATACCTACAAGAAAGGCTTCATATTCCGCCATCTCGGCTTCAAATTTTTTGCAGAGCTAGCGTTCGAGTGTTATTTCAATTCACTAGGTTACTGCACCATAACTTTAAATGTATACAAACCCTTTTCCCTCCCAAAAGTCTTTCTTAACTGCAAGGTCCAACCACGTGGAATTATGCAAAAAAGCTTGAAATTCAACATAATACTTCCGACTAGAGTAGGCAAATATGGCACAATTGGTTTTTAAAAATTTCGCCCAAAAACAGGCGGAAACTTCCGTTAAATTGTAGTTAACGACGTCGTTTATTTTCACATAGTTTTTCACCGAAGCTCCAGGAAAATTCATCTGATACACCGACTCTGCTCCTGGCGAGAGAAAACAATCACAAAGCGTCAGCTGACAAGCTTAATTATCGACAGAATTAAGAGAAAATGAAACTGGATACAAAAATTATCCAAACTGATCACAAAACAATTTTTAATAAACAGTATATACTTTCTCAGTCGTCAGGAATTACAAAATGCATGTTATTGTATCCACTGATACATGAAAAGGTTTGAATGTGGTTTTTGGCCTGGGACCTGCTATAGGTATTGCAAACCTTCAAATTAATCCAATCTTCAATTTAAACTGCTTATTATAAAAGACCAAAAGATTTAAAAGCCCAAGCGGAAATGCATAAAAAAAAAAGTGCGATATTTAAATATAACGCCAATCAAGCTTAGACAACCTTAAGATAGTAAGCAGTTAAATAAACATAAGAAAATCGAAGACTGTATACCTAAGATTAAAATTAAATTTGACGTTTCGATTAAACTATTGTCATTAAACGTAGAAATTAAATGCTTAAAATGTTTATTATTTACGGAGTTTCTGCGGTTGTTTAACTTGCTTTATATGTTATCAAAATATAGTGCGCAGTTCCGATAGTTCCGGTAATAATGCAAGGCGAGTTCGGTCGTCAAGATGATTGGTATATGTGATTGTTTTAAATTTTAGGATTGTTTAAAATTCTGCTAGGGACGAAGAGTTTTAGCTGTTCTCTGTGCTGTGTCATACTTACGAGAGTTGTGTAAATCACTCGGTGTATCTTTAAAGTAAACATCTTCTTTAAACTTTGACTTTATTCCATACCACGCGAAGATATTACCATTTTCAAACAATGGTCCTTTATTTGCCATTAACGATAAAGCATGTCCATCAATTTCATAGTTCCAAATATTGAGTCTACTTTGAGAGATATTGTGCATGTATCCACCTGAAATCCGATAATAAAACACGTTACCGCTTTTCCATTTTACCGATGCAAATATATAACCTCGTTTTCGTTTACTGATGGTCACCGCTAAATATGGTAATAATTATGGTATAAAAATCACTCTGTTAATGAGCTTAAATAAAAAATATTTCCAGGAAAACGTTGGAATATAATCTTGGTCTTTCTTTGACATGCCGTTAATAAGTTAACATAGAAAGAAGGCCATCTGCCGCTAAATAATTATATTAATAATATTCAATTTTTATGGCGCGCATGTCCAAGACACTAGAAAAGTCTATTAAGGAATTAATGAATGCCGTAATCACACCGATAAATTATAGCACTGGGTACATGGCGTCAAAGATTGACCAGTAATAGCTGTTAATTTAGCATAAGGATAGCTATAAAAACCACCATTGATGACGGTCTAAACTCTATTCTATATACAGTATAATCGGACAACCTGGTCTAGAGTTCTAGTCCTTCGAGTTAATTTTTTCATACAGTTTGATTTGAAATTTACTAAAACTATTCAATTCGATAACGAAGAGTTCAAGAGAGCAAATTTTAGACTAGAATTCATGTCTCTTACTGAATTGCAAGGAAAGTTGTCCTCCTGCAGGAATGGTAATATTGGAAAACACATCATGCATGGTAGAGACTAATGAACCATCCAGATATATCCTCCAGTGACCTGTACTACTCGACCATGTGGTAGCAATATGGTGCCAATATGCTGGATCTTCATTCCAAAATATTGGTATTCTTGCTTCTCTAAAAATTTCAGATAACATTATAGTGGCACCGTAACCTCCATAAGTGGGTTTTGATTCAACACTCAGTTTCTAGTTTGTTTATTAGTGGAGAATAGCTATATACTTGCATCAGGTGCATGCATCACTACAATAAAGCAGTCCTTTAAGTTTCGTGTTTTAAAAATAGGTTGTAGACTAGTAAGTAGTGTGTTGAATCGCCATGATATTTCAGGCGGGTAAAATCAGCTAGCATTTGATAGCACATTCCCTTTCGGAAACAATAAGTTATGCTAAGTGTGCTAATTGGCTAGTCGTCATTTCAAAAATGTTTTCAGATGCAGGCGTGAAAGTTTATCAATGCAAAATTTTATATTAGACTCGCCTAACTTTCCTTCTGAAAGCTATATCTTATAACAAAATTAATCTTTTGCCTTTTTTCAACCCCATTTATTTCCAATGTGAGATTATCCGCCGTAAGGTAAAATAAAAGCAAGGGCGTTCCTGAAGCGTTTGTGTAATCAACATATCTGTGATGCAGAGGTGCTGTGTCCAGATCCATTGGCGTCTTCTCGTATTTTACCCACGTTGTAATTGTGAAAGCGTCGATTTGTTGAACTAAAGTTTCTCCCCATTTTAAGGTTTGAAGAAGGTCTTGTGATTGTGTTATAACAATGTCATACTTTGGGTCTAAAAAAGATCAGTTAAATTTTTAATTTCAACCACGTGAATTTCAGAAAAGCGAGATGATTCCATGGAAGTTGAATTTCACTAGGTCTGTCAGAACTGGTAATCAGCACTTACGTTTTCGAAGTGGCTTACACGAACTTGGCTGTTCCTGGACGACCATATCACCATAGCTGTCCTTAAGAGAACTCCAGTTTATGACATCTCCAAATTCAATATTTAAGCAATTTTGATTTGTGAATTTATTTTCGACATCAGCAGCAGTAGAAATAAACTCACTCCATACATTTAGTTGACTCAGTTTGACGAAAGATGAGTGGTTGGAAGTCCCATTTGTGCTTTTTAGTTTCTGCCCTACGACGAAGACACCTCCTGCTTTCAATGGCAAACTTGAACCAAAATCATCTCCACGGTAAACCAATGTACCGTCAAGAAAAAAAGCGTATTTTCCAAGGTACCACGAAACTCCCACGTGATGCCAATACCCGTCATTGATTGGCGGAACATGAAAAACCCTGGAAAGGTCAAGTGTACAATATTGCAAAGGTAGAGAAATTCGAAGATGTCTATCTGTAAGCGATCGAATGGATCTCTATCTATTTACGTCGTGTGACAATATTTGTTGAAACTAATGCGCATAGAACAATTAAGTAATCAAGCCGTTAAATAACTGTCACTCTGTAATCTTAAAGTGCCTATATCACTTGTGAGATCTTTACGGATTTGAATAGAGCTTGAAAAATTTGTTTATAAGTTCTACAACCTTTTTTGATAAAATTAAATAGTTTCGAAAATACGTCGGTTGGAGGGACTGGAAAAACCCTGGAAAGGTCAAGTGTACAATATTGCAAAGGTAGAGAAATTCGAAGATGTCTATCTGTAAGCGATCGAATGGATCTCTATCTATTTACGTCGTGTGACAATATTTGTTGAAACTAATGCGCATAGAACAATTAAGTAATCAAGCCGTTAAATAACTGTCACTCTGTAATCTTAAAGTGCCTATATCACTTGTGGGATCTTTACGGATTTGAATAGAGCTTGAAAAATTTGTTTATAAGTTCTACAGCCTTTTTTGATAAAATTAAATAGTTTCGAAAATACGTCGGTTGGAGGGACTGGGACTCAGGAATTATTTGCAAACACGCCGTCTTTTATAATGTAAACATGAAGAGTTTCACTGGCGATATAGTGTGCGCTTTTCAAGAAAAAAATGCGGGAACGGTGTATGGCTGTAGCAACTGGACGAGTTTTTCTCAAAATATTTTACGTTATTTGAAGATCGAAGTAAAATTACAATTGATTATATTATATTTGACAAGAACTCGGTTCCTGAGTCCCAGGCCCCGAACACGACAGAAATTTAGGCAAATCGTCATGTTTAGATGTAAATATTTCCGAAACTATTTAACTATATCAAAAAGGGTTGTAGAACTCATAAACTAATTTTTCAAGCTCTATTCAAATCCGTAAAGATCCCACAAGTGATATAGGCACTTTAAGTAATGATAACTTATGTAATCAGCTCATTAAAAAACTGTCATTAAAAAACTGTCGCTCATTATGTCTTTTTTCCATAAAAATTTGTGTATTCAACAAAGCAAATATATTTCATACTTTTTCGTTGAGTTAAGCTTAAGGATTATCATTTCTCTCCACACCGTAAGCGAAAATCCTTCGGCATTTTCATCCACAACGTAGGATAGAATTTTCATTTTGTTTGCTTTCGAAATAATGTTTATCCAAAACATAAGTGTAAATTTGGACATTTGTGGCACATTATCGCCAAGTAATGTTACGTCTTGACCCTGTTTAAAAACTAGATCGAAGTCTCCTGCAAGAAAATAAAAAAGAACTATTCTACAGAATTGAATATTCTGTAAAAGACTCAGTAAAGGCTCCCTTATATACACGGGGCTCCTCGTTGCAAAGACACATCTGAAATTGCCAGTCACGGCAAAATGAAGGTGCATAATTATATAGTCATGAGATGCTGGTGTTTTTTTGGTTGATCAAACTAATGATTCCCTTGGCATTATTACAAATTTGAAACACGAATCCACTGTCTCCACATGCATGTGTCTGATTCTTGAGCTGGAGAAAACACAATATACATGATAAAAATTATATCATTAGTGGACTTTTATTTTATTCAGCTTTTATATAGCCATCATATGTAAAAAGAGATACGTAATATATATACATAATATGAATTGTACACCCGGAATAAAACCACCCCAATGGCAATGCGAAATTCTGCATCGGTACGTGGGATGTCTGATTGATTTAAAAATTTTTTCAGAGCACACAATACACCGATGATAATATCATACATATGCATATCAATATAAGTTTACCTTCTTCTGTGACACAGTTGCTATTATATTCCTGTAAGAAAAAAATACCCATCTTAATTTATCTCTTTTCAAGCCCACACCAAGCGCGCTTTTCCGCCTTAAAAGTTTATTTATCTACTATTGGTCGACGTCAGTCTTCACTGGGGTGAGTTCTTAAGAATAGATGTATTTTGCAAAGTGATGATAGTAATGCTTTTAACAAATGTTGTGCAGCTGTTATTGTTTGGAGGAGTAAAATTGGTTTTAATTGTTTCAAAAGGCTCACAGGCCAGAGACGACTAATTGTTTCTTCTGATTCACTCACTACATAACCGAGGACCAAGCAGTTGTATAAAAATTGGGATGGCTATAGCTTGTAAATTAAGCGAAACAAAATATAGTGATATACAAACGCCCTTAAACTAAAGCGTCATGCACCATTGTTAGAGCATTTACATTTCCCGGGGGGTGGGTTTGATTTCAAAGGATTTTACCTTTTGTGGTGTTGTAAAGTAAATGTAATCATAGGAGAAATTCTTCTGCAACTCTGCTGAGGTATTATAGACGACATCGTGCAACATCTCACAGAGATTTGCCTCATCCTCATGTATTTTCCTGTAGTTCACAGATCTACAACATGGCTCTTGTATGCACGATAATATACATTGAATTTGGTCTGAAGCGTTTGTTTCCTTCAAAATTGAACTGTTGAGTCGGGAGCCTGTTAATCAAGAACGCGATCTGATGCATTGCATGGTTGTAGCTTTAATACTGCTCTACAACAATCTCTATATAATACTAAAAGATTTTGTATCATTACAAAAAATGACTCCATTCAAGTTTGCTTTATCTAAAAGTTTCGCATGGGAAAATACCCTAAAAGAAACCTTAAAACCCACACTAACCCATGGGTATATTATATTATGATCTCCCCAATCCTTATAAAACTGTGAAAATGGAGTATAGTTATAGAAACGCTTGGTTGAAGACATTAAGTGAAGACAAATGAAAAAGCACACTGGCATTGCTAAGACTAGGTTTACACAACTCCGGATCGCTCGGAAAACGTGCAAAAAAGTATGTGTTCGAAAACGTCACTGTTGCCATAGCGATACGACCCCCCTGAAAACGTGATCAAACGAAAACGCGCTTACGAGGAGTTGTGTAAACACTGTACGCGGTGTTATTATTTAATAATGGGTCTGTGAGATGATAAATTATGCGTCTCCGTATTTTAACATTCTATACATCTGTGCTTTGAAACAATTAAGGACTATACCGTTATTAAATAATTTGTAATGATAAAATAACACTTCGCTAAACGTTAGAGGTAAATTATTGTTTCTTTGTATTAGCTACATCAACTCATTTATTTTGACTTACCTTGTAGTGTGTTATTGAAGCAGAAATCAAAAGACTCGCTTTGATGCATCATTAACAGCAGGGAAATTAGAGAAAGTTTGTCTCGGAATCTACACATCCTGGCTTGAGGGATGCAAACCCACCTTTTTAAAAAATATATTCTGATGTTGACGCAGTAAAATTTTGACAGCGCCTCTACTGTGTGTGTTAATGAAATGTGTTAATGAAATTTTTAAGTTGAATGAGCCCTCCGACCAAATTAATAAGTTTGGGACATGTGCACCTGCGATGCTGATATTACTTGTGAAAGCTATATAGAGAACGCGTTTATTGGCGCATCCATGATGTAAATGAATTTTAGCAACATTTATGGTAATTGTAGTCAATTGCTTTGGACGATGATTGTCTGCTTGACATTAGAGCCAATATATGGCCATCGTAATATGCACTAATGAAATTTTTAAAGGGTTTTTAAAAACGTATTTTAAATGTATTGGTTCAGCGGCAAGAATCGAGGAGCGATTTTTTCATTTTTGTTTCTGGCTGAAATTGAGGTGTGTCGAAATTTTGACTGACTATAAAAGCGTTCCGAAAAATATCGAGCAATTCATTTGCATACATATATACATTTTTGTTGATTTTCGGAGTTCGTCAAATATTCTGGAAAATCTTTGAAAAATTAATAACTTCCTATAGGGCCGGTTGTATATAAAAATTAAGGGAGTTAAATTACGTAATATTGATTTAAAACACGAGAAGGGGCGTTTTGACATATTTAGATATGATAAAACACGAGTTCAAGTGTTTTTAAATATTTTAAATACGACGCGTTGTTGTCCACGTACGTTGTGTTTACTTCAAATACGCCGCATTGTTGTAGGATGAAATATTATATAAACAATTCTACTGAACGTGTAATTTTATGATGAAGTTATATAATGTGTCATCCTTCATGGCACTTTACCACTTCCTAGGGTTGATTTCATAGGCTAAAATTGATTGAATTATTGATCATTATTATAATTTTTGAACCACATGCAGTTAGTGGCAGAATTGGCCAATCAGAATAATGTATTTTCCAGTTAACTACGATAAAACTACTTAAAATGTTATTAGGAGTTTTATACAACTGGCCCCTGTTCATTGACCATTTATGGTGGCTCAAAAAGCAAATTCAAAATGTGAAATTGATTGCGAAAATATTGTTTCAAGTAGTTAGGAGTTTGTTCTTTGACGTTTTTCATGACGTTATTAAATATAGTTGTTAATTGCTTGTTATTTACACCATGTAATATATTAAATTTCTAAGCTTTCGGCCCGTGAGCTCGGGCCATCATTAGAGAAAAGTTTAATTACAAACACACTATGTGCGCAAGCACATCACGCAACAAAGTTACGCAATTATAAACGGTTAAATTAAGAAGAGATAAAGGTTCAACTCTATAGAAAAACTAAGCAAGCAAGAACTAGAACAAACAAGACCGTATGTTATTAAGTGGTCTCTCTTCCGGTGGAATAGTTTTATCTTTGATTATCTCAATTGATTCCCTGGTTATACGAGGAGAGTAATGGTTCACAAGAGGAGGAGGGTTGATTCTTCCCAATTAAATTTGTGGTCGTTTTCCCATGAGTGTTTAGCCATAGCAGATCTTTCCAAATTTCCTCTAAGAAAACAATTCGAATGTTCTTTTTGTCTGACTTTCAAATTACATTCGGTTTCGCTGATATATACCAAACCGCATTCACAAGGTATACGGTATACGCCGGGTTTCTGGTTAGCTGGAGTTTTATCTTTGTGTGAATATGATAGTTGCTGTATTTTTAGATGAGAGCTATATGAAAAACTTTAATATTGTTATTTCTGAGGATTCGCTCAATTGCGTATGAAGAAAGACCGATGAAAGGGATGCAAACCATGTTGATATAGGTTCATTTTCATTATCAGTAGTCGGTTTAGGTTTTCAATTTCCATGGTGAAGGTTATAGATCGGTGTAGACCATTGAGATATTCCGGAAGATAGTTTAGTTTTTCAATCCCGTGAGACCAAATAAGGAAAGCTTCATCCACATAACGTTTCCATAATTTGGGTTTAAATTGACAGTTGGCTAGTGCTCTTTCTTCGAAGTCTTTCATGAATATATTTGCTAGGATTGGAGAGAGAGAGAGGTGAACCCATGGCTGCGTGTATGCTACATGTATCATCTACTGGCACGTTGGTAAAAAGGCTGACCACATTAAAACTAGAAAGGAAATCATTACTGTCCAATTTGAAATTCTTGATTTCGTTAATAGAGGTGGACGAATTCAGGACGTTGTGTGATGAACCTCCCACTAGAGGTTTAAGGATTTTGGCGAGATGTTGAGCTAAATTGTAGGTTGGGGAACTTCTTCTTGACGCTACATTGGGTCGCAGAGGGACATCTGGTTTGTCCACTTTAGGAAGACCATAGAATGTGGGACATATAGTAGCTGAAAGATATAAACGGCGATAGAGACCGCTGGATATGGTTTCCGCTTTGTAAAGTGACAGGAGATTTTTACTAATTTTCTTTTCAATACAAGGTGTAGGATTTCGTTTTAGTTTTTTGTAGGAAGTGGACCTGGAATTACCTTTATCAGCTTTTAAGATGTGGATGGACTGGTCTTTGTGAAGAGAGTGGATGGCATCAAGTTCCTTGCGATTAAGATTGTTTTTTTGTAGTTTAGCACGACGTAGAGTTTCGGTGATTTGCACGCGGATGTTATTTGCAGTTTCTGTAGGTAACTTGAACAATGCGGGTTCGATTTCTTGTATAATTGAGTCTCAAAGAAAGAATACGATGTTCATTACCATTTAGGTTGTGTTGACTGAGTTTGATTACAGTAGAGCGCGGTGGCGTCGTTAGGCATAGAGATTATAAATAATAGGGGGGTCATCGAGGAGAAATTGGGGAGCGCGGTTTTAATTGATAATCCTTTAAGAATAACATTTTTGTCGCAGCATCTCTTCAAAAAAGCCAGATCGTTTAGGAGTCGTGACCGTTGATTGCATAATCTTGCGTATCGTTTGAATGTAGAGTGCGTATAACTAGGGAATCAATTGAGATATTCAAACATAAAACTATTCCACATGAAGGGACACCTCTTAATAACATATGGTCTTGTTTGTTCTAGTTCTTGCATGCTTAGTTTTTCTATTAGAGAATAACCTTTATCTCTTCTTAATTTAAGCTTTTATAATTGCATGACTTTGTTGCATGATGTCACAAACTCAAGATCATATACATATATTCCTCTGTGGTGATGTGCTTGCGCACATAGCTTGTTTGTAATTAAACTTTTCTCTGATGATGGCCCGAGCTCACGGGCCGAAAGCTTAGAAATTTAATATATTATATGGTGAATTGAAGTTAATGAGTTCACGGCAACCAGGTATATAATCCATCGTAATTATCGCTACTCTGGTTTTAATAAATGAAAGTAATCACCACACAAAGATCAACTTTCACGACCCAATCCACCCCTGATGAAGACACTAGACCGGAGTGTCGAAACGTTGGGTCGTAAAAGTTAATCTTTGTGTGGTGATTACTTTCATTTATTAAAACCAGAGTAGCGGTAATTACGATAAATTACATGGTGTGAATCACAAGCAATTAACAAATATAGTTAGTTTTTTAGAGATTTCAAGTTTTTCAAGGATTTCAAGGCCTATTCAAACAATGGATAGTCTTTTAATAGATAAGTCTTTTAATTATCCATGGTCAAACTTCTCACTTATCATGAACGCATGAAAAACAATAGATATTACAGTATAGCTATGCTAGTTTGACTGATTTGCTATAAGACTTAAACAGTGACAAAACATTTTAAATATTTTGTGTCATTTATGAGTTTTATAGTCGTCGAAGTCAAGTTGAGCAAACCACGGGACAAACCTACATAACTACTCATGAAATTTGGCACCCCCCCCCCTCCAACCTAAAAGTGCAATCACTGCTTCTGTTTGTGCATGTCTGTTACAATTCTACGTAACTTTTTTCACTCATAAAGTAAAAAGTAAATTGAGTTTCACTAATTTTCACTCACGACTTTTAAGACTTTTTACCTAAAAATGTTGCCAACCTCGACGAATTGGACGAATTTCTAACCAAGATAAATTAATATAAAATAACCGTTCAGTTGACTGTTTTACTTTTAAGCGAAATATTTAATAATCAAAGATAATTGCACAAACGGCAGTTGATTCTGACGTTTTGCATGCATCAACTGACCACTGATGTGTAGATAATAATTATAATACCACGGGGTAATTTTGCTTCCATGGATCGGAGGTTGTCGACTTGTCGAAATGAGAAGTCAAGCGCTGATTTAGGTCAGGGGGGGCATTTTCCTTTTGAAAATGCGATATCAAGCATTTTGAAAACAACAAGGTCTCGTCCCTATTCTTCTTTTGAAACACAGGCTTCTTCTCCCGTCCTCACACACAAGCAGAGTCCTATACTATGTATTTGAACTAAATGTACGAAGATTGAATAACAGCCTACGACTATTTTAATTAAAGACATGCACTATTCGCTCTTAATTTACATAACCTTTAGCATCGATTCACGATGAACTAGAAGGTTCCGCATTGCTTGCCTGCCTGTCAGAGCATTTTATCATTAGCTCAAGATAACTTATCTTCGACGTGTCCATTTAGAATAATAATTTTGGCACGAACAGCAAAATTGTGCACGCAAGTCTAGGGACGCAACTCCGAATTACTAAGACCGATCGGAGTGATGTTGACGATAAAAAAAGTCGACGGTTTCAATATTTCAATATAAAATAATATTTTGTATGTAGTATGTTTGCTTGCACTGAATAGGCGTTACTGCATGGACCTCTTCAAAGGAAGATGATTTCCACCTGATAAAGGCTGTCCTGTTATAAAAGTTGATAGTAATTCAGTACTAAGAACATGTTTTGTATGGAAATGTACATGTCATGCTTCTATAGCATATGTGAGAAATATCTTTCCATAATACAAAGTGGTATAACTAAAATGCCAGTACATACATCGGATGACGGGATAAGTCAATTATTCGCAATGAAGGTTTGCAGGTTTCTTCGATTAAAAAAATGGCAGGCCAACCTCATTGACGCAAAACGACACAAAGAAAAGGGGGGAATTGTATTACCACATGTTGCACGGCATTTTTTACGAAATCGTTAGTGTGTTGGACAAG